TGCTGATCTTTAGTTCTAAGGATTACTCTATCAGCTTCCAGCTCAGGCTCCTAGGTTCACTGTGTAATTGCTTGCTGGAAAAGCCATAAAATTGGGTGTCACCATTGCAGAGTTTAGTAACTAAACAACTAGTTCACAATATCGCCACATATATCAACCTTTCTAGAGTGATCTAGCACATTGATTTTTTTTAGATAAGCAGAAGCTACCATATCTGTATGTATGCTATATAGAAGTTGTCTGCACAAATTAAGATTCCCCATTTTCTTCCAAGTATTTTCTTATCTATTGATGGATGGAAGTTATTAAAGCCCACTGATATCACTTGGATACATGTTCTTTAAAGGCCCATGGATTTAATGCTTGGTCACCAGCATGTGCTGCTATTGGGGAGATGGTGGAATTTTTAGGAGGTGGGACCTAGTGGAAGAAAGTTATGACACTGAAGAGGTTATTGGTACCTTGTTTTTCCTCTTCTTCTCTCAGTTTCCTCTTCCACACACACTCTATCATGATGCACTGCCTCATCACATGCCTCAAAACAATGCAGTCAAATGACTGTAGACTGAAACCTCAAAACTATGAGTCAAAATAAACCTTTTCTCCTTTTAAATTGTTGCCTCGGGTATTTTTATTATAGTAAAGAAAGCTGACTACGCAACCAAAACTCTTCTAGAACAAATTTGCATTTTCCTACTTTTTTAAGTCTACTAAATAAATAAATAAGTTTTTTCTTCTGTTTTGCTGTGCTCAACAAGGCTAACCACTTACTATATTGGAAATTAGATGAGAGCACATCATAATCAAATCCATACTACTCCCTGTCTACTGAGATATATTATAGATATACAATGATATATGGATTGATAGAAGGGTGGATAGATAGATAGATAGATGGATAGATAGATAGATAATTATATAGAAACAAATACATAATCCCAAGACATTCTCTAACCAGAATAGCATAATTACTCCTGGATTTTATCACATGTACTTTAAACAGATTGATTAGTTTCATATGTAACAAAAATAATGCCAGGTACTAGCAAGTGTTCTAACATTTCTTGTTAATAACTCTTTTAAATGTTAAAATGAATGATTTGCCAATAATTTCTGTATAACCACAATTTGTAATAGTATATATGTTCAATACATGTTTTTAAATCTCTGCTCAAAAGTTGCTAATAATTTTTTTCAAATAGCTGGCAACAAATTAAAAAAGATAAATATTTAAAGTACATTTGAAATAGGTAAAGATTAATATGAAATTATCAATTCAATGTTATATTGGTATCTTCACCAAAGAATATATCAAGTAGTGAATAAGAATATATATATATATATATATATATATATATATATATATATATATATATATATATATACATACACACACATATACATATATACATTTCCATTTGAAGAGATATGCTCCAAATTTACTTCTGTAAAAACTTGCCATCACTGATAAATGGGCATTCTTTATGAAAATAATGAATTAATTAAATATATATAAATACTATTTTTAACTTGATTCATTTATATTTTCCTCAAGTTATATTATCTGTTTTACATTTTTTCATCTCATTTTTCCTATTATATTCATGGATTTTAGCCATGAGCTCAGATTGATATTTCACATTTTCATGTTCTGATTGAGTTTCAAGAACAAAGATGGACAATATGTTAGATCCAATAAGTGTGAGCTACTAAAAGGAAGATAAGGGGAAAGAAAATGGAGTCAGCATCCAATTATCTAATCAATGAAAATATTTATATTTATTTAGTCAAAAATATTTTTCCTGATTCTTTTTCCATTTCTCCTAAAACTGTTTTGTTCTGTCAGGGCCTTCTATAGGAATGCCCACTGTCTTCTGTGCTGAGCATATTTCATGAATACAAACATTTAATTCTTTAAGTTTTACTGTCTGAATCAGTCTTCCATTGCAAATAACTGAAAAGAAAACATAAATGGACAGTTCAATGGATTTGGCTTCAGAGAAGTCTTTATTTAGGGATCAAATGCTGTGGACAAGAGTCTCTCTCTGCCCTATCCCCTGCCCCTCCCCACTCCTTCCTGTTGACTCCATTTTGGAGTAAAATGCACTCTCATGGTTCCAAGATATACCAAAGGTATATGCTTTCTTGTTCACTTTTAGTATAAAATGAGTCATTGCTCAAAGTTCAAAAATCACATTTTGGTCTTGTTTTGCCAGATTGGATCATGGTTCGATTGTCACAGTATCATTAATGTGATAAGCCAATGGGCTTGAGCCAGTTAGGATCTATTCCCAGAGTCTGGAGTTCTACCAAACCTACTCATAACATATCACTTAAAGTGTTAAGAAAAAGGTCAAAAATTCTACTACATTTTTGACTGCAGTTTATAAAATTCTGATTTGATATAGATAGTTAAATAAGTATGATAAATAGTTGATTTGCACATTTATTTTTAATGTACTATAGCTGAACCTGAGTAGTGAAGATTTTCTTACCCTAAAGTTCAGGGATATATGTAGAGAATTTAACAAATGAGAAGTTATACTAATTTATGTGTAATGTGTCAAAATGCATTTTACTGGCAATTATAACTGATTCAAACAAATACAAAAAAGATGTCCAACATTATTTTTTAATTCATAAACAATAAGCATAGTTCTAGTTGCTTAAAAGTCCATCACCTCAGTGTGTCTTATAGGCAATTATCAGAAAACTTAAACATTAATAATATTGGATATGTGATGAGTGTTATTGTCCAAAACATCAGGGTAAAGGAGGTCATTACACTATATTTAAGATTAGTTTATGTTTAATCTCTTACTCAGACTGCTTAATCAATATTTGGGAAATATAAGCAAAATTCTCTATTTTAAAAAATGAAGCTTCAGTATAATATTAAATTTCTTTCTATGATTGAAATATATGTCTGGATTTTTCTAAAAAACAATAATAATTACTATAGATCCATAAAAAAGGTTGATGTGGCCTAATTTCATAGAAATCAGGCCTATCTCATTACATCTTTAACACTGGATTTGTAAGCAGGTTTTAGCATATATCTCAACTTTGTTTATCAGCATCGTACGTGTTGTTAATTTATTATAGATATATACAGAAACAGTATCATTTTGTTTTGCTAAGACATTATTTGCAAATGAGAAGGAAATTAACATGTTTACTCAATAAGGAAAAGATTTCCTAATTCTCCTAACATTTTATAGCACACAAAATTAGTGGGGCACATATCATTGCCATGACATGCAACTAAATCATTCAGGGTCTCTCCAGGTGAATTTGGATTGGCACAAAATAATCACACAAAGATAAAGAAAATACCTTTTTCTCTGGGTCCAGTGAGAGTTCTCGATCTTAGGGGTCCACTGGAAAGAGAGCCAGTCACCTGAAATCTTTATTTTTATAGCAGGGGACACAGAGGGAGGTTCAATAGAATGTTCTTTCCAAATAAGGCAAAGGGTCAGGTTTCAGGGGCTTGAGTCTAGCTTAGTGATGTCAGTAGATTGATTAACATCTTCACAAGTCACACCCATCTCAGGTGCTGTGTGGGAACACAGGCAGAGAGGGAGAAAAGTACACACGTGTGTTGCACGGCCCAAAGAGCACTCAACATCAGGCCAGTCCTCCCATATGCTCAGATGTTCATAGTTCACATACACAGCCCATGCCTGGCCCACAACATATCATAATTTTATTTTCACTACAACGTGGAATGACAGAGGGTTTGCTACCTTCTGTAAATGAAAGAAGTACTTCTAGTTGGGAGGTGAGATAGGGCCAGTTACGGTACTAATGCAGGAATTGAATACAGTGACTGGAATGCATTGGGAGTTCAAATCTGTAATGACTTAACTAATGAAGTCAGAGCCTAAATCTAGTTCTTTACAAGTTCAGATCTTTTTTTATGACTTAACTATTATTGTGTTGTTGCTCACAGATTTTAACAAAGCATGTGATCAGTTTCTGCAGCTCTCAATAGATGACAGACAAAAAAATCAAAACAAAACATAAACCTTCCTAGAGAACTCCTTTGAGGGCATAGGCTTATTATTGTTGTCATTATTATTATTATTGTCTACTTTGCTCAATTAATAAGGAGTTGAGGAGGTTCTTGGTCTATAGAATGTTGAAAAGTATATGCCTCTAACAGAAAGCCATCCTGAATATATTCAGATTTTTTCAAAAAGCTTCTTCAAAACATTTTTAATGCTTTTGTTATTGAGAGAAAACCAGGTGAGCTAAAACACAGCCAGCTGCGCTTGCAGAGGTGAACACATACACACACACACAACAAAAAAATAAATAAAATAAAACGCCAGCTCTTAAGTAATAGTTAACAGCAACTAGAGACAAACCTGACAATATGTAAAGAGAATCTCTTCTTTGAACTCTAATGCTGAAGTTGGAGGCAGAAACAAGATAGAGCCCCTGGCTTTCATCCTACCATAGGTAGCTTAACTACTCTGGTTTGATCCTGTGTGGCCCAACAAGGCCTGACAAACAGCACTGCTGTACCAGAAGCATCTCTAGGGCGATGATGCGTATAGACAGAGGGATTTTTTAGTCAATTGCAGGAATTAGGCTTTAATGCTTTATACTAAAAGACTTCATACCCCAGATAGCTGCCTGCTATCCACTGAATCTTGGCAGGCAGTGAGACTGCTGAAGCAGAAATGGGGAAGCAATGTTAAGCAGATTTTCACGCATGTACAAAATGCTTTATTTTGTAAAGCTACTTTTCTTTGTAGCAGTTCAAAATGCTTTTCTTTTTTTTTAACCTCTGAGTTTGGTCCACTCTCAGTGTTTACCAAAATTACTTTCTAAAAATGTCTCTATAGAGCACAGAGCAGATAAATGTCCCCTTCATCAAAAGTCAATGTTTTGGACAGAAGAATCCTGAACATGTCAATTAAAGAGACTTTTTTTTAATGATCATAGTTCTTTCAAAAATGACAAGACACACAGAAGGATATTAAATACTTTACCATTGTTTGGAAGCTCGAGAGGGCTACAGATGTTGCTTTTGCTTCTAGTTGTTGGAGAAGAGATCAGTTTTGCCACAAGGGATGCAGAAATGGGCTGCACCAACAGGGAGGTGAGGTTTGACTGGCTTTGTCTGAAGCTTCCATCTGTATTCAGAAGAGGAAGGAACATTGTCCTTAGTAAACAGATATTAAAAATAATCAAGGAGAAGTTCTTTGTAATAAGTATGTAAATCACGAGCAATAAGTTTATATTTGTTCATTTGTTTATTTACTCCTTAGTTACACTGTGTCTACTTATTAAAAATGATTTGAGATACTTCATAAGAATCTAGTCCAATTACAATTATGTATCCTATTAAAGATGGCAGATTATACACATACACTTACCTCCATTGTCCCATAAAACTCCATTAAAATGACAACAAAGGAATGAAAAAGAGTAAATCCACTGGGGCAGGGAGAATAGATAGTAATACAATTTTAGAAGTTGGAAAGCAGATGAGTAAGTGTCAGCTGACATAACAGCCCTGAGGAGACCAAAATCTCAGCCTGCAGTGAGAAGCGAGAAGCAGCACAGTTATAACCGCAGAACTCAGAAAGGCTTAGGGATTGGCAAAAACAGCTCCCTACTGCGGCAGGCATGAAGGTGGCTGGATTCAGAGGATTGGAATAGATTCTAATTGAGAAGGAATCTGTCCTACTGAGCTTCTTGCACACCCAGTCAATGCAGGTTCCTATTCCTCCCTCATTCTAACAGAAAATAGAAACTCTGAGTCTGGAGACACCAGATACAGTGACGTAAGTGATACTGAAAACAGGATGTTGATATTATTGCTGAGACCCTTCCGATATTTTACCTTCCTGACACCCAATTCCTTCCATCCAGGTAGGTCAATAGAAGATTGTCTAGTAGCAAATAAGTCCAGCTCAACCAAAAATATCTAAAAATAATGAAAATCTGGAGGTCTAGCCAAAAGTAACTCTCTCAAGACATCCTGCATTGGAAATCATTACTCAATAAATTCCACCCCTATACAAAAACTTCAAATCAACTTAGTTTTGCTATTTTTAAGTGTGAGCTTCCACTATGAATACTGTACAGTAAGAGGGATGCCACTGAATCAGCCCAGTGAGGATGAAAGGAGGAGGCCAGAAGTCTCTGGACAGAGGTCTCCAGGAAGACAAAATAAATGGGAATACAGATGAGAGCTAATGTATCCAGAGAATATTTACTGTCAGATCAGAATTAGGATTTGAAGAGTTCCTAGACATGTAGAAAAATAAGAAATATAAAGAGATACAACTATTAGCTGTAAAGGGACCAGAACTTGTGTTAGAAGGTAGGTAATGGTACAATATGGGTGATATTTATATAATCATAATATAAATGATGATTATTGACTTAAAAGCAAAAAGTGATATTTTTAGGATAAATGGGGGAGGGGCCAAAGTCCAAGGTCATGCATGTGGAGTCTTATGAAAGGTAAAGCCATGTTTTTCTGAGTGGTAAGTCAATATAATGGAAAATACTTAAAAATGATGAGATAACCCAAACATGTTGAAAGATAGGAGGTAAATATAAAAAAAATAGGTGACAAAAGGTATTAAAAGCAATTAAGTGTTTTCCCTGGGGAGACAATTAAAGGATAGGAGACACAGGAAAGGGTAGGGGAAGGTGGCATTTTTATAAATCAAGCCTCATGAAAATATTTGACTAAATAAACTACATTCATTTATAAGTTTGAAAAAAAAACTAAAATAAAAAAAAGAGAGAAAACAGCTGTGGTAATGCAAAATGAAGAAAACTACACAAATACTTAGTAAAAAGAGAAAAAAACTAAATGGTTCTTAAGCAAACATTTAAAAAATAATCAACTGAAATATTTTTACAGAGTCAGAAAAAGAAATACACAATGGAATGACTCTGTGAGGCAGCCAATAATGTTTTCGAACACAGTCTTATATTTTTCAAAACTTTTATTAAGGAAAATAATTGCTGAAAGTTTTCCCAGAATTTAATTTGACAGGACTGCAGGGGATGCAGAGCCCAATGATGCTGGCAGGCAGGCTCCAGGAGGCAGAGCATAAATGAGAAAATATGTTTCAAAAGTGTTTCCTTAATTTATTATCTGGAAAACCACGAGGCTAAAAAAATGATATTTAGCTTAGGCCTGTGGCAGCCTTAGAAGTCATGGCATTGAAGAAAACAATAATAAAGATTTAAGCTTAGAATCAGTTTTGTTATATAAGCACAGCTCTAGTCTTGTAATTTAGTAACTCTTTTCTGTGGATATATGACAGTGCGTTTGGACCGTAGTGTAGTTCACGGCTCCCTGGCCATTTTCATGTCATACTTCCATGACTGGCTATATAATTTGCAGGGCCACGAGCAAAATGACAATGTGGGATGGCCCATTGCAAAAATATGAAGAAATTCAATATGGCTGTAGCAAAACACTGAAACAAATGTGAGGCCCTCCTGAGCGGGGGCTCTGAGAGACCGCACAGGTCTCATGCTCAGCAAGCAGGCCATGAATGGTCTACTTAGAAGACGACAGTGGTCACAGAACCTGCTGGGACAAAGTGAAGAGGATCCACACACCTCAAAGAGGGTGCTGACAGGCAAAGTAACCAACCCCTGCACACAAACTGCCATCACTTTTACCAATTTCTATTATACATAGGACAGTGAAATGGTATTTATGTGTATCAGTTATTTAGAAATTTTTATGGATGTTGGATCCTAACAGGTTTCCCATACAAAATAAAATTTCTTAAGTTTCTGTATGCTTTACCAGTTCAAATACTTAATTTTAGCTTGTCATTCAAGGTCCTTTGCAATATTAATCTTTATCTTTCCAGTATTATTTCCTGTCATTCTTCCTCATATGTCTTCCGTTAAAGCTTGATCTATCCCCTACATGTCCTGTGATTTTATCTTCATATTTTTACTTAAGCATTTCCTTTCACTTTACTTGTTCTTCTCACCCACTACACAAATCTTAAGTGCACAGTGCTTCCTTCAAAGCCCAACTCAAAAGTCACCTTCCACGTGAAGTTTTTACTAATTCCTTCGGTTCTGTGTGATACACCTGCACCTTTTTGGCAATACTTGCCTTTTTCAATTATCATTATTGCTATACAAGAAACACTTCATCTTTTTTTTTTTCACTAAATTCTAATTTTCTTGGAGGAAAAAAAACAATTCATCCATATCATTATATGAAACAAAGCACCTAGCACATTGTCAGAAACACATCAGTAGGTCAATAATTAGTGAAATAGAAATAATCACAATTATATGAAAAATAAATGCTTATTTTACTGATTTTTCTGAATGTCTAAAATATTGAGCAGGAGCCCAACTGAAGACCAATTTATACTTCTCTACTTGCTATGTACTTATGACTTCTCCAGAGCTGACTGTTCCCTTCTCCCAGCAGTCACATCAAATAGACTTTCCAAATCCATCTATCCCCATCAACCCAATGATTAACCTTGTTCTAACATTACCTGTTATAGATGAATAGTTTTTCAATAAATAAAATCATCTTTGAGATATATTTATCTGCTACTAAAAAATCAATATCTCTATTCCATTTTTCACCAGATTGCTCTACTAAGCATATAAAACAAAATATTTAAAAGTTAAATATGAGTGAAACCTAAGCCATAATTGCACATCCCCAAATCTTTGATTTTTTTTGTGCTGCATGACTAATAGACTTGCATTAGTTTTGAAATTCCTGAAGTAAGTGGTTCATTAATTTTTCACCTTCACCTTAATGGAAATTTGACAAACAGTTCACTTCTGAGAGCAGATACTAAAAGCAGAACTTAACAAGACACTAAGATTAAATTATAGACAAAAGTTGCTTTTTTCAAAAACCCTACTATTGAAGAAAAGCTGAGAGAATTTCATTTTCTTACATTTTATTAAAATACTTTGAGTAAAACTAAACACATATCACATTTTTATTCAGTTATATTTTAAAACACATTTATGAACATTAAATGTGATATGAAAATTAAGTAGAGTATGTTCTGTGATACTAAAAGTACTATATAGAAAAACTGTAATATTACATTTTAGCTCTCTAGCTTTTAGATGCCAGCATTTGTGTCATGTTCTGTGCATTGTTTATGTTCCGTACTGATGACATCAATTTTTATTTTAATAGGTATCTAAGTCTCTATGCATTCTTTGTAATCTAAAGATCCAAATGTATCCATTCCATCAATAATTCAATCTCACACATACACACAAATATTCAACCACACACATACAGTATAATGAAGAATTTGAATATACAGAATTTAAGTCCAACTCCATCACTGACTCACAGTTAGAAATTTACAAATAATTGATTTCACTATGGTTATATTGTCACCCCATCTACTGTTCCTGAACTACCAAGGTGACCCCAAACGGTCTTCATTTTGCTGACTTACTGAAATAAAGCACACTATTAGCTCAGACATCCAGAGTCTGAATTATAGTGAGTGACATTTAGAAGAAATAAGGTTAAAATAAGTAAATATTATATATCTGTACATATTTAATAGGTTTCACCTTATTCTTTTCATACTGTTGATATCCACTCACTTCAATCACATCTGGTTAGGTATAATGAAAACATGAGCCCAGTGTGGCAGCACATGCCTATAACCTTAGCTACTCCAGAGGCAAGAGGATCACCAAGTTCCAGGCCAGCCTCAGTAACTTAGCAAGACCCTGTGTCTCAAAATAATAATAAAAAAAAAAATGGGGGAAAGAGAGGGCCAGAACAAAGCTCATGGTAGAGTGCTTTCCCAGCATGCATGAGGCCCTGGATTCAAGCCCCAGTTCAGGAGAAATAAAGGAAAAAAGGAAGAGAGGGAAGAAAAACATGAACACCAGCACCAGTGTGTGTGCGTGTGCGCCTGTGTGAGAGAGACAAAATGAAATACTTTTAAACCCCAATTAAAAAGTCAGTGTATGCAACCAGTGCCAATTATACAAGCAGAAATCTCAGACATTGGGGACCTCAAGATTGAGATGCTAAGAGGTTCTAAGGTAAAGAAGATGCTGGTTCAGTAAAAGAGGGGCCTTGTGTGGATGGGTGATGACAATGTACCACAGTTAGAAGAATAGCAGAGCTTCT